AAATTGTTATATAATATACGGTCATTCACTGGTGCGGTGATTTATGGGCAAAAAATTTTATTTTTCGATACTTTTTTTTAACATAATGTATTAAGTTATATCATCGGGAAGTACAGGGAAATATGGGCAATACATTTTAACGATTTCGTACAATGTAGCTTAGTAGTATATTTTCCCATGTCGTTCACAAGTAGAAAGTCAACCTTAAACGGTCATTCACTGGTGCACTCACCCTACGAGCCAGGCACGGGTGTATATAACTGAAACATAGTTAATTATAGATTGGCCTTTAGGCAGTTAATGTTTATAAGCCAAGTACATCCATTTATTATTATTATTAATATCAATAATTGAGATGAGGATTCCACCTAGGTGCGTAATTTAACCCGAATATACGACTGGTGTGAGTAAGTTTGAGTGAATAATATGGGAGCGACATGGTCTGTGTGGCATTCAATGCACAAAAACAATAAAACCTACTCGTAAAAACTAAGTGTATTACCAATAATGTGTTAAAGGCATCATCACTAGGGGTGTGCGATGCATCGAAAATGCATCGAAATTTCGATTCGATTCGATTCGATGCATCGAATCGCGATTCGATTCAGTGGTGGTCAAAAAACGATTCGATTCACGAGGGAGTCAGTATCCATATACGAAAAACGCCTGCAGAAAGTCAATGCAATACCCGCAATACAGGAGCGCGTTGCTGTTGCGTTTCCTTTACGAAGGCGTTCTTATTTAATACATTCTTTGCATTAAATATAGCTTTAATTGTTTTATATTTTTTTTTGTTTTGACATTGCAAATGATTAGAGGTTTTGTTTTTTGTCTTGATGTAAGCAGTGTGTGAAATATTTTACTACTGTGAACCTAGCCAAAACAAGGTAGGTTACTCCAAAATCATTTTAAAAATAAGTCTGAAAAATTGTTACTTAACACTTAACTAGTAAGATCAATGTTATAGACTGATACATTTGGTATTTTTGTTAGGTGTCTGTCGGTCCCCGTCCCCGAATTTTTGTTGGGGCAAAAGAAAAAAAAGAATAATTTATTTCCAAAGAAACACTCTTATATTATTATATCTATTACAGAGGAATTAAAATGTTCAAATGAGAATTAAAAATTAAGTTGGCTCACGACCTTTAAGAATAAAGACACAACAGAGCAATTGCCGCACTGCCACTAGCCAGAGCCAGGTCTAGTCGTCTACTGATAAGAGTAACAAGACAAAAGCCGTGACGCAACACTAACAGTGCAAAGAAAACAAAGTCAAAAGAATAGAAAGACTATTTATCCAGACATACTAGTATAATCATTTATTGTTCATTCAATACCTAATTAAAAATATATTTTAGTATTTTACATAATAAATTATAAACAAAAGAAATATCTGATATAGTGAACAGATCTGTATCTTGGTTAAATAGGGTTAAAAAAATATATTTCTAAGATCCAATACGATATTTACAATTCACAAATTACATTGAATTAATTTCTTTGAAAATAATCTCTAACAGTTTTGTGTTTTTGAATAAAGAAATATATTTCTTTGTCTCTACTTCCTTGTTTCATCACTTGCATTTTGTCAGCAATTGAAGCAACTGGGTAGCAACCGGGTGGTGTAAGAGGGGAGGGGGAGGGTCTATGACCTTGAATGCACACATCGTTGCCCGGGCCTGGCTGGTGAGACTGATTCATTGTTTTTGTTGACATACTACTACCCTTCCTTAAGAGAAAAAGGCCCTGCTGTTCCAAAAACATTGAGGGTAGTTTAAAAACATTGACCTGTGTTGCCAAGGGCACTAGAAGATAGCATTTAACTTTCTTGTCTCTTGATTTAATGTTATTTTAATCTTCTATATATTATTTAAGAGTTACTTTTCGGGTACCTAATTAGTTGTGATATTGTTTAGCTTCATTTTATGGATTTTTAATTCTTTTCATTCATTAGCTATCAAAATCAGTTGTTTTAGGATTTTAATCTCTTGCAGTACCGGTAGGTCTATACTACTGTATGACATGATATGCATTTTTTAGTCCTTATTAATTATACCATAAACAATGTTTGTATGTTATTTACTGTTTTTGAGTTTTATAGGAAATTAGTTTATACAATATCTTTTCTTCAATGAGTTCTCCACTTGACATGTTGCTTCTAGCCTATTACTATTTTAGGCCCTATAAAAATGATGCCTATGTAAAGCTGTAGGCCTACTGATGCCAATAATAATTCTTTATTTATGATGATGTAACAAATAATGTAAGTGTGAGGTTATTATACTAAGGAGGTTAGGAGGCAGGGAATGAATGATACATGTTGCATGGTGGAAACATATTATTTTTATTTTCTTCTTGCTTGCAGTCCTGAAGCTGGTCCACAGGCCCTAAACTTGTGATATGTAAATTTATTTCTTAATGGTCTTTTTATATTAAGTTCCATTCAAATTTGTTGTAATTTAGCTACCGGTACCTATTTAGTTATTTAAACAGTTATTAAAATGAGAATGAATGTCTTGATAAAAAAAATATTTTCTTCTTTCTTGCAGTTGAGCCAATTCCAAGTAAAAATTATGAAATAGGCAAGTAAAGCAGCTCACTGGTATTTCCAGCAGTTATTCTAATACATATGATTGAAAATAAATATTTTTTCACCTAAAATTCATATGCAAGTATGAATAGGCCTAATACCACATCAACAAAAATTTGTATTACACAAATGTGATAAATTTTAATTATTGTTAATCCACTCAATTGACAATTATGAATAGAAAAATACCGTATTGCTTCGAATCGAGTTGCATCGAATCGAATCGAAAATCTTTTGAATCGAATCGTTGCTTCGAATCGAAAATTTTTTGCTGCTTCGCACACCCCTAATCATCACACAACAATAAATCACCACAGCCAATTTATAATAATAACGATAAAGCCTAAAAGCCTGACGAAATGTGTAGGAAAACGTAACGCCCCCATTGCAATACATGGGTCAGTGCCGCTACGTACACTGACTTGTGGTGGGGAGAGCCCTTCCGCGGCCGGCTCGTTTTTGCTGCATTGAGTCAGCGTTCCATGTTTATAGTTCTATGACAGTGATACAGACAGCTTTGTGTTAGTAAACAAATCGGGGTTGTACAGTGATACAGACTGCTTTGTGTTGGTGAAAAAATCGGGGCCGTACAGTGATACAGACAGCTTTGTGCTAGTAAAAAATCGGGGTTGTACAGTGATACAGACAGCTTTGTGTTAGTAAAAACATTTGGGTTGTACAGTGATACAGACAGCTTTGTGTTAGTAAAAACATTTGGGTCGTACAGTAATACCATAGATAAAACATACTCCCTTAGTAGATTTCTCATCCTTATGGAACAGCTGAAGACAATTTTATTGTTAGTTCATGTACGGTTTATGTAGAGGTCGTGTTTTGTTTACAATTTGTTTCCCGTTATTACAGCCATTTAAAACCTCATTTAACCAAATAATACGATCTAATCATAAACAATAACTTGTCCCCTAGTTATATAACCAAACAGTAAAGCAGAAATCAAGAAATTAACCCTAAAATAATTGAAACAAAGTTTCATTGACACTAGCGCCTTTGTGTCACGTACATGAACTAGACACGAAAAACGTGCTTCAAAATTTACAATGGGATGAGAAGTCTACTTGTGTTGGTTAGTCTATGGTGATACAGACTGCTTTGTGTTGGCAAAAAATCGGGGTTATACAGTGATACAGATAGCTTTGTGTTAGGAAAAAAAATCGGGAAAAAATTTGAAAAAATCGGATCCATCAATACCGGATCCAGCCCAAGATCCAGAATTTTTTGGATCCGATCCGGTGCCGGTTCTAGTAGTCCGATATCCGGACCCGACCATCACTAATGCTTATATGATTCTGCAGCAAGTAAAAATTATGAAATAGGCAAGTAAAGCAGCTCACTGACATTTCCAGCAATACAAGTTCTTCTAATATATGATTGAAAATAAATATTTTTTCACCGAAAATTCATGTATGTCATATGACATGTATGAATAGGCCTAATACCACATCAACAAAAATTTGCATTACACAAATGTGGTAAATTTTAGTTGGCCTATTGCTCCATTGACAAGTATAAATAGAAAAATGCCGTATTGCTTTGAATCGAAGAATATACTTCCGAAATTCATTTATTTAAAACTTTGTCCAGATATATTTCAAAAGAGTTGTAGTATTCAAATCATGTAGATTGCCCCAGTTCATTTTAACTATTAAACTTTATTTATACTACAGTTACCTGACAAAGCAATTCCTGGCACTGATTAAAGCACGCCAAGTAGCTAATTGCTGCATTTACTTACTTTTGCCGCAATCATTTTTTTTACCACACTCCAGTATCCCAACCAAACAACACAAAACAGTGTGCTTTTACTAGGCATGTAATATGTGTACGCTTGAAAATAAGTTGGCAACACTTAAAGGTACTACGACTACGATCAGCTGGTGCAGCGTTTCCAATTTCGTACAACACTTGGATTTAACCTGACCTAAAAACGTTTTGTATAGTGTTAGAGAGACTAAATTATTTATATGCTTTATATGCTATATTATTTTATATGCTTTATAGTAATAACTGTAGGAAAAATATTTTTAATGTGTAATGCGAGTGCAAAGTACCTTTGCTGCACTCGAGAAACTTTCCACACTCGTCTGCGTCTCGTGCTTGAACATTTCTCTCCTGTGCAGCAAAGTGCCACTTCGCACACTAGTTAGACAATAATAACTATTTCCAAACACCTGGGTAACTTTGCTCCACTTAGTAAACTGGTCATTTAAGTACTTACATGCGTTTTCTAGTTGGTTTATTGTTAACTACAACCAGTTCTGATCATTTCTCATGGACACTTTTCATGACAATGGTAATATTGTTTTAAAAGTGCAAAAGTGATAAACACATTTGATAAAATGAAACGAAAAGTTAAATTTATAGACATATTCTAAATTTTATAATATCTTACCTCCTCTTTATGATTTCATCGTGATATTCATACCAAGAGTTAGATTGCATTAATTGATTAAGTTCATATTCTATGATGTCAGCTTCCTTCAATAGATTGGGGTTAAGAACCACTGGCATACTGAAAAATATGGATTTGTACAATACAATTACGGAAAAGGAAAAAAAATAGCATTCAGTAGAATATATATATATATGAAGTATTAAAGATTTATTTTTAATTGTTCACTTGTAATAAACTATCAATGTTTTCTTGAAAATATTACATTCTTGTCATATAACAACACTGCTACTAAAGACTTTTTATGGCTTTCGATAATCATATTATGGCTTTTAAACACATGAAGTGGAAGTAAATTTGAAAATAAAAATAGGTTACTGATTATCAGAAAACATCCCAAGAAAATGTTTGAATCCACATAGCTATGGCCTGAGGCAGTTTAGGGCATATTTTAGTAGCTATTAACGTAGGTCTCATCGTAAGACCTAGGCCCGGGACCAATTTACTTTTTCATTTCGATATCCCCATAGGCAAAAAAACGTCCTTTCAAAATGTTAAATATGTGTATAGGCCTATATCTATATTTATCTATCTATATATATTTGAAAACATTATAAAAACATTAGTAACCTTTTAACTCATTTTAATTATCAACGACTAGTTTCTACACTAAGGTTATTGTCATGTTGACACTTTATACAAATACAATAAAAAATAATTTTATTTGATTATAATTATAATATATTATAATTATAATCGTTTTATTCCGTGAATTCACAGTTATCTAAATTTACGTAGGATTCCCGGTTTTCAAGGTCAGCTGGACACCCTGATTTGGCAACCAATCCCAAAAATAACCTTTTTTGCAACAAAGCTCAAGGTAGCATATGGATGAACAAGACATTGAGGTGCTTATCATATAATAATGAAAACTTACCTATGAGCCATGGGCATGACAAAATGGCCTTCAGCAGTTATCATCTGTGATGGAGGATTGTACGATTGTTCAGGGTGTGCCCCATACTGATATGAGTTCCTGGCACTATCTACTGGGGTGTTGACTATCAGTGGTTTGTCGGGATTACTTGGATCAAACAGCTGTTTCTGAGTATGGATCACCTGACTATTCAGTCTTGAGTCAGTCTCTTTGGCAGGAGGGAGGACCAAAATTCCACCACCTTGTTTTCTCTGTTCTTGTTTCTTAGTTTCACCAAATGGTCCAGGGCCATTTAACCTTCTCGCTTCCTCTCTCCAATTCTCTTCTTGTTTGGGCTCCTTCATTCTTTCAGGACTGATATCTCTACTTCCTCTTCTCCTCCCGGAGCTAGAATGGCTTTTCACGCTATTTCTTCGAAACCGTTCATTGCTACCTCCTCTCAACTTGCGCTCGCTTCCGTTGAAATTCAAGTATTCGTCGTGAGTCCACCTTTCTACACTGTTGTTTCTGCTGTTGCTCCGGCTATTATGTCTACTGTTGTTCCTACTACTGGTTCTGCTGCTAAATTTATTGTCGGATCTAGAGATTCTAAAGTTGTCATATGGATCTCTAGTCTCGACCCTCCAGTTTCTATCGTCACTGCTATTTTTTCTACTTCTCGGCCAATGCCTATCGTCTCCGCTATTCTTTCTACTTCTTGGCCAATGCCTATCGTCTCCGCTATTCTTTCTACTTCTTGGCCAATGCCTATCGTCTCCGCTATTCTTTCTACTTCTCGGCCAATGCCTATCGTCTCCACTATTCTTTCTACTTCTCGGCCAATGCCTATCGTCTCCACTATTCTTTCTACTTCTTGATACAGAATTTTTGTCACTGCCACTGTTTTTCCTATTGCGAGACTCTCTGAGTACCACATCATCAACAGAACCACGTCGACCATTGTTGGCGTTGCTCTTGTCAAACCTTTCTCTGCTGTTGCTCCTGTAAAACTCGGGGCATTAAGACATTTAATAATTTGAAATTTGCCAACAGATTAATATTAAATACTTGTCATGATACTGTCAAACATGTCTGTTGGATAATCTTGCATGGTTTGAGAACATTATTAAAAAGGTTTAGTTCTTAGTTTAGTTTGTGGAAATAAAGAGAGCTTATAGAAATGGATTGGATTAGCTGGCGCTATTGCTTTATGTAGGTATAAACTTAGGTATTCCGTGTAAGGAGGTAAAGTGCTACATGAAATCCTAGAAAATTAAAATCATTATTATGAAGGTTCTAAGAAATCTATTTACTATTTTAGATTCATAACATATAGACCTGTAGGTGCTCTGGTAGGGAATTAATGCTCTCAATTATTGTTTGTTTTATTTGAGTCTTAAATTCAACTTTTCAATCAAATATATACTAATCTCAATAATCAATGATCGATAAAAAAGATAAGTAAAGGTATAGCCATCTTCCACCGTAGCAACTAACAACGCATGCAATCTACAATAGCATATGTACAATATACATGTGCCATATCCCCATTAAATTCAGGCATCACTAATAAAACAAAGATGTAAACATACTACAGTAGAATCTTGATTATGTCTAAAGTTAGAATTTTGCAGAAAGGACAGATAATACAAAAAATAATATATACAACAGTAAAAAGGTTAAATAAAAATATTTTTCTAATACGTTGCAAACTTTTAAGGTGGTCATTAAGATGATTACCTAATCAATCTCAAACTTCTCTTTTTTTTAAGCAATCATCACAAATAAAAGTAAAAAACAAAGTAAAACCCCCACTGCTGAAACTAAACATGCCCACTCAGCCACAGGTCTCCGTTATGAGTAACAGGGAGGTATGCAGGTGTAGGGAGTGGTATTTTAAATTCATACAGGAAAACAGGAATTGCAGACAAAAACTAAAGGAAAGTACTGTCAAGTGCCTGATACTTGTCTTCTGAGTAAACTGTACAATTAGGGGCTGTGTAAGAGGTTGCATCAATGCACCACTATGGTGTACAGTTATGCCCGATGAAATTAGCACAAGTTAAATAATCGACACTATACAGTATGTAGGATATGTACAAATATTTAAATATGACAAATTTTTATTGAAAAACTACGGGAATGCATTTTTTGGGACTGAAACTTATAGAATTTAAGCATTTTTTCTGTGAAATATTTAATTACATTTTAATATTATGTAGCAATTTATTATGTAGCAAATGACGAACCCCATTGCACTGTAAAATGTTTAAAGGGTAATAAAAATTCTTATTCTTATAGACCTTGAACTAAAATTATTCCAGACCGGATGTAATTAGTGTTCCCTAGTCTTTGTCTGTACTATCCACAATTAGAAACATTCTTGTCAAGGTCATCATCTATACATCAATTACAGAATTGCAGCCTACAACCAACACCGGGTAAGTATTAAAAATCTATTGAGAAATAAACCTTATCTTGATTGCACCAAGGCACATCAATTTTGTTGGCTCACCTATCGTTATTTCCTCTTCCTCTCTTCCTGAAAGCCGGGAACAAATTAGATAATTTGTATTCAAATGGGGACAGTAAGTGACAACTTCAACATGATGTTGGTCTAATTTGAGGCACCTAGTTAAATGAAGAAATGCCCTTAGTCATATTAAGTTGCACAAAAACTGTGAATTAGTAGCTGTAAAACTTATTTATTGATTGTACGACCTCGAAAATAACTTGACCTTTTTTAGTGCCCAAAGCCAACCTAGTTTTTAAATTCCTCCAATTATTAACTCCCAACCTTTGCATACTACTTCCCTCGCTTCCCTCTATTAATTCTAGAAAATCAACTGCGGGAGATAGATGATCATAATTTTGCCATGATTGCAGAAGACGAAGATAATGCCCACGACCATGGGATAAGTTTACCATTTTGCCGCTGGTTGCGGAAGACGATGATGTTTACGTTACTGGAGAGGATATTCAGGATTTTTCCATTATCACAAGAGATGATGATGATGATGTCTACATGGCCGCTGGAGATAATCAGAATTTTACCGCAATGGTGGAAGACTTCATAATGTCTACATGACCATTGGAGATATTCAATTTTTCTGTGATCGCGGAAGACGTAGATATGATTTTTCCATAACCGCAGGAGAAGATGATGTTTCCGGTACTACTGAGCGATATTAGGATTTTGCCACGACCGCAGAAGACATGGTCCGTGACATTGTTGTGAGGAACATATTCAAGATTTGCAGTGATTGCAGAAAGACGATAATAATAACTCCAGGAACGTGGGAGATAATTAAAATATTACAGTTCAGCCAAAGTTTCTGTGCGCGCGACCAGATCTGGTTAGGTACAGGCGAGGGGGTTGGCGGGGGTACTTTTGTGAAAACATTTGTGTCTTGCCACTCACGCACCCCTACCCCTAGAACTGCCAATAACCAGTGCACGTATGTTTTAGTTCGGCTAGTAGCGACCCGTCCGCACGCACAGAAGTTTCGGCCGAACTGTACTTTGAGGCTAAAATAAATTGTTTGTTTTGTTATTTTTTGTAATATCTTCATTTACCTTTGATACAGTATTCATTTAAAGTGTTTACAAGTCTTAAAAACTGAAATTGGCTAGCTATAATTTTGCATAGCTGCATTCATTTTTTCCTTTAATTGAATAACACCCCATTACCCCAAAATTACTTCTTAGGAGGCCATAAAATCAGGGGTTGGTGTTGTTTAACCAATTCATTTATGACTTTTTTTTAATGATATCGGTGTCGAGAATAGATTTTTCAGGTATTGGTATCGGTATCAAAAATCAATACATTTTTTAATTAACACATCACTAATTTAGATTTTACCCACTTTTTCAGCGACAGTGTGTTTGATATTTATCAACAAAAAATTGCATATTGTTTAGGGTATAATTAAGCACAATTAGAATGCCTTAAATGTGTGTTACAATCAAAGAAATTTGCGATATATTCCAATTTTCTGTGCTTACCGGATCTTTCAGAGAATACTACATTAATTTTATAAATAAGTGTGTTTTATTTTTATCATATGTTTGTTTTTTGCGTAAATTCTATTTAAAATGTTGGTCTTCATTCTGTAAACTCTAGCTCTCAGGGTCGTAGACTTTTTTGAACATTTAACAAGGAAGAAATTAAAGCATTTGAAAATAAACAACAAGTAAATTTGGTTTGTTAGGTTGATAAAAGATTTCCATATGACGAGCTGATAACAACCCACAGCGTTAGGAAAATTTGGAAAATCCCAACACTGAGCCAGATAGCTATTCTGCTTTCTGCCTGCACATGCGAACAAGCCTCTCTTGCTACAGTGTATCTTAATATTTATTTGGGTTTTCACTTGCAAAAAACGGACTATAATTAGTTAGTATAGTTAGGTATAATTAGGTAGTCTGTACATATTATGTGGACATACTACATATTATGTATGTATTATGTAGACTGTACATATTTAATGTGTATGTAAGTTAGTTTTTAATAAAACACATTGAATTAGAGGCTATTGGTTGAATTTTGTCTATAATTTAAATCCATTAAATTTAGCACTCAGAGATTATCAACAAAAGCTTTAGGAAACGTTGGTTTATTCAGCCACATACTTATTTTCCTTAAAGTCCTGGTACTGAAGTTGCTGGGGCATCTACTGTAAGCCTAGCAATTGTGATATCTATTTATCGAGGGAAGCTTTACATGTTGACTCTAATGCATTGTCATACACAAACTCATCCTATTTGGCTGAAGCAATCATTTTCAAATTTTGCATGGTGATTTAGATCATATCCGTGATTCCAACATCTATAGCATTAAAAAATTCTCGCAGGAATCCACCGCATGGGGTCACAAAGTTTCAATGTAATCCTTATGGAAGCAGTATTTGACACATAAACAAAGGCACAAGATCAGCTGTTGACTTTTAAATGGTGAACATCAGAAAACATATGATAACATGATAACTGTGATGACTGTTAATCACGGATATTAGAATAGAAATGGTAGGGATCATGGTGGAAGGAAAAAACATAGGTGTGATATTCCTGTCATATGCCGATGTCACGCACATTGCAAACACCATTTCACTATTTAGAAAAAATTATAAAAACAAGAACAATCAAATCAAAACAAAAATATACTTATATAGCAGACAATCAGGTGATTTTCTGTTAGTAATCTGGGTGACATCAGCGCATGATGGGAATATCAAACCTATGTTTTTTTCCTTCCACCATGGGTATGGATCATAAACTTTAAAAAAATACGCCAACATCTCAAACCTTATACTAATAACATTGATACCCCCGCCGCAGCAAACCTGCAGACTAAGCGAATTTCAACTTGTCTGATTACATTTTTACTAAAATATTTCCATAAATAAGACATATTTATTCCCTATTTAAATAACATTAGATTTAACCAGTGCTTAGGTTTGCTGCTACGGGGAAGGTAAAAAGTGTTTTTTGACCATATGTCAATAGTATAGGATGAAATAAATAAATTTGCCAAATTTTATCAACATATAACCATTAACAAGTAAACTACAACAGTTTTCATTTTCTCTATAAGAATAACATGGGAATTTTAAATTACACTTTTTTGAATTTTCTCCGTGACCGTTAGGCATAAAACAGCGCTTCAATATACTAAATTATTTCTTTTTTTAAGCTCTACAAAATGGTTGAGAAATAAATTGTGAAAATTTTTATTTTTAGGGTTAAAAATGGGAAAAACCTATTTTTACCCCATAAAACCTCCCATAAACCCCTGTTTTCCCATGGTCCGATTATGCTGGTTCGCGAACTCGTTCGAATAAATGTATAAATATAATTTCATCAAAATCGGGCCATTTTTGCTCGAGTTATCGTGCTAACGGACACATATATAAATATATATATATATATAAATAATCAAGCTTATATATATATGAATTTGAACGGATGGTGTTTTTGGCCTCTGGGGACCTCAAAACGAAAAAGTAAATCGGTCCCGGGTCTAGGTCTTACCATGAGACCTACGGTAATAGCTTATTCCCTATATGGGAAATCCGCTAATATAGGTTTGAACATTTTTCAACATTTTTCAACAGTTTCATTATATTAATAATACAAACTTGTTTACTTTCGAGCCATTGATGTTTTATTATGATCAATGCCATTTCTGTGCTAATATTCATTTTTTAATCATCTTATGTATTAGTTTAGTAAATGATTAATTATTGGTTTCAGTTTAAACATGATCTACTATTTATCATGTACAGAACAAGAAAATTTTTACGTGTATTTGTATCAATGTGCCATTAGCTTTATCATAATGTTGTAGAAGAAAGTTTAAATTGTTTTCCTCACAATTTACATTATAAGAATACAATAAAATTTTACAACACTCTCCAAGACTTACTTAAGTTTTTTAATAGGAGCATACGGTATGTCAGTGATGGATTGTTTTGAATGAAAACCACATGTTAACATAAATCACGTAGGATTTCAATTGAACTGGACGGGACAACATGTTTTAACAAAAACAAAGTCATCATACATAGGAATCCTTATATAATAGTATCTTAGTTTAAATTGTGTTTTAGCGAATTTCCCATATAGGGAATAAGATATTACCCTAGGTCTCATGGTAAGACTTGGACCCAGGACCGATTTACTTTTTCATTTTGAGGTCCCCAGAGGCCAAAAACACGATCCGTTCAAATTTGTGTATATATATATTTATATCCCTCCAAGTGTCTCTAGTTTTGGTCTTAATGTTCGCCCATTTATTGCGCAATCGCAGGGTTTTATTAAAATGTATCTTAGAAACTTAAAAACAATGTAAAGTATACTGTTTTATATATAATTTTGTTTGGAAAATTATGGGCTTCAGCGAAACATATAAAAAATTAAAAAAAAATTTTAACAATTTTAGTGGAGTTAACATTTCTCAAAAATTATAAAATAAATGAAAAAATTTATGTTTGCGCTCAATAAATTGTTATAATTTATAGGTCTACAAATATTTTAAAATAGCCACTTAGTTCAGAATTTTATGAGGATTCCAAAAATATAATAATATAAGGAAGAAGATTTGCAAATAAATAAGTTATGGGCAAAAAACAGATTTCGGTACATAGCGTTTAGCTAAGAATGCATAGCCTAACCATAGCTAGGAATCTGGCTGATAATTTACATCAATATCACTACCTACTTCTTCAGGATCATCAACCAGCCCTTCAAAATCACTTAAATCTTCTTATAATGCACCACGTATATCACTACTTTTGATTTTTAGCACTAAAACAATGATAAACGTAATAAAACACATCAGTCATCGGTGCGAGGTTAACCAAGCTGATTACAAATACGCACGTCAGCTGTCTGCTACAATTATGATCGGCTCGAGAAAAAAAAGCGCTTAGAGACAGACCTCGGGAGAAAGCTTAGAATCTGCCAAAAAAAAACTATACCTAACTCGATCCAGTTCAATCCGATTTAGTCAGTCATAGAGCCTTCGCCGTAAGCAGTGTTTGTGAGTCGCAAAAGCGACACAAAACACTACACAAAGTGTGTTATGAGTCGCTTTTACGACACATAACACTCGGAGGGTTAAATGTAGGTAATAATTATTATTGTGATTAGGGATACTACTATATAAAAACAATTGAAAAATTTTAAAAACATTAGTATCGTTTTAAATTCATTTTAATTATCAAACGACTAGTTTCAACACTTAGGTCATAGTCATGTTGACATTTTATACAAATCATTATACAAATCATTTGTATAATGATTTGTATATATATATATATATATATATATTAAAAATCAAAAACATATTTAACAAAGTACCCTTTTATAATTTTTTTTTTTTTCATGACTATAATTGTAAGTGTTTTGGTTGAATTCTACGTAATCATCAGTACTGTATCACTCTTTTAGAGAAAAAGTTTATAATACCACCCCAGAGGGTTTAAGCTTAAAAATAAATGGAGGTCCCTGATATGGATATCACTGTGTTTTTACTTCCATTCACTGATGAGAAACTTATGTAGGTCTAAATATTTTAACTACTCCAATAATAGTTGTCTCAAATAATTATAGATATAAATAATAATGATGCTTGATGGTGAAGGTGAATGACAAAATAAAATAATGTTTTATAACTCCGCTCAATTCTGTGGACACCTTTGTGAACACCACCTAGTTAATGTTTGTCTACCATGGAACTGTAGCCAGTCCTTGTCTAAGAATGCAGTATATCCTCTCTTACCTTTTCCTTCTCTTTCGCCGGTCTTTGGGAGGCGATGACGCTACAGTCTTGTCTGTTGCAGTCAGAGTTGGTGGAGAAAAGTGACTGCTTGCCAAACTCCAAGTGTTATCTCCAGAATCCTTCTCATCTAATGCTTCTTGCATTTGCTCACTCAACTCTACTTCGTCTGCCCAGTTCTAAATTAACATTTAGAAAACAACAAACTTTATGAAACTTTGGCTAATTTTAATATTGAAGTGTAAAATAATCCAAAAAATATCACATCCAAAAAATATAATATTAATGATCACTAATTTTCAAAAGTAAAATAAATAATTATTTGTTGTCATGCTGCAGCCAAAGCGGCTGTTTTGAATAAACTGACGGAGGGCTGGGCTGAAGTCATTTGAATCCAAAAAAGGATTCATGCAAAAGGGTTTGTACAAAAAACAGTACTTTTAAGGTAAAAAGAATCTGCTGTAGTAGAGGAAATCAATTGAAAATTATTTTCCTTTTTGTTAGGGCCTAGATGGATTTGAAAAAGGAAAGGTTCTGTTTCAAAAAAGGTTTGTTATTCAAATTTGTTTGTGTTTTAGCGAATTTCAATATAGGGAAGTAGCTATTACCGTAGTACTCATGGTAAGACCTGGACCCGGGACCGATTTAACTTTTCATTTTGAGGTCCCTAGACGGCAAAAACACCATCCGTTCAAATTCATATATATGTGTGTGTCCGTTAGCACGATAACTCGAGCAAAAATGATCCGATTTTGATGAAATTTGGTACAAATGTGTCAACTTACGTTTATTCAAACGAGTTCACGATCCAGCATAATCGGACCATGGGAACGGGGGTTTATGGGGGGTTTTATGGGGTAAAAAGGGGGTTTTCCAATTTTTGACCCTAAAAACCAAAAATTTAGCTATTTCTTTCTATACCATGTTGTAGAGCCTAAAAAAAGAAATAATTTTGTATTTTGAAGCGCTGTTCTATGCCTAACGATTATGGAGAAAATTCAAAAATAGTGTAAAATTTAAAATTCCCGATGTAATTCTTATGGAGAAAATGAAAATTGTTGTAGTTTACTTGTTTATGGATATATATTGATAAAATTTGGCAAATTGATTTATTTCATCCTATACTATTGACGTATGGTCAAAAAGCACCTTTACCTTCCCCGTAGCAGCAAACCTAAGCACTTGTTAAATCTAATGTTATTTAAATAGGGAAAAAATATGTCTTATTTATGGAAATATTTCAGTAAAAATGTAAATCAGACAAGTTGAAATTCGCTTAGTCTGCAGGTTTGCCGCGGCGGGGGTATTTATCATAATGTTACATTAAATATGAGGGCTAACCATTATTAAGGTTGCCATTATAAAGGTCCATTATTGAGCTCCAGTTACAGCCATCAGGGTTGAAAGCGAGCAAGTTCAAATTTAAGACCCGACGTAGTATTCTTTACTTCACCCACTACTATTCAACTATAAACTGTATTGTTTGTTAAGATTTCTGTGCTCTTAGTAGTCAACCAAAGTCTACCAAACGTTGACTGACATGTTTGGGATAAAGTGTTTGGACATAGAAAATGTGTGTAAAGATTGGAGGGAGTACGGAGGTAGTTGTAATATTTGCACAATGATTTTGATGGTAGCCTATAGGCCAACTGTTTTGCATTCAAATCCTGGTGGAACTGAATGAAAAGGATTTTAAACAAACTGATAGGAGAGGTCCTTAATAAGACTATCAAGGACTACATTAAGCCCTGGAATTCATAAATACGCCAGTCACCAATCTCAATTTCATCAAATTCAAACACTGTTTAGTGAAACTGATAAACATTTACTGCCAGTCCCGTTTTGCAAACGTGTACAGTTTTACATCTGTCAACTGGCAACAGTAGGCCTTATCAACAGGGGTTGACCCCCTTACTAAATAAACCTCATCACAAAATGTGATTTAAGTACTTGGTGGGAGAGTCATCGGCTATCATGACGAGATTTTTATAGCAATGGGATCCTGCTAAGTTGGGGTTGAAGGTTGAAGTAAAGAGGAAGGCTTTAGTACCAGATTTGAATTACCGTAGCTCATTTGCCTCAACTGGAGCTCTATAGAGACCCTTATCTATGGACAACCCTTGTATTTCACCATGGTATTTCATTAATCTATATTTGAATTTCTTACTTCTCCTTCACTGTCCGGAGTAACATCTGAATATAACCTTACTTTCTTCAAACGACCAAAAAAGGTTAAGTTATATTCTGTACCGGTAGTTAAAAACGTCAATAACAGAAGTTTTTTTAGGTGACAAAGTTAAAATATATACAGGAAATAACGGGACTAAACATGCAGCATTGGGTTTGAGACCAGTTAAGGCTTAGTGAGAGTAGGCCTGCAAATCATGAACAAGAAAATGTTATTGGATTGCATTAAGCCACCCATGAACTTTGTTTTGTTTTTATTAGATGGATGTATTTTTCCTCCATGTAGGATTTGAGTGATATTTAGTATGCTACACTTGTTACATAGACTTAGAAGGTTAGTAAATACCAGTAATTTTACATTCCAAGGGATTTTCATCAATTAGTGGTTGGCTCAATAAAAAACCCTTAATTTAATTTAAGTTCCTTGTAAAAGCACAATTTTTTTGTTTGTTTAATCAGGCACATTATTTCATAGCTACATATCTGATTATAAGAATATAATTAGGCCTACATTACTTTCTCAAGAAATGTTATAAAGTAAAACTTACCATGCTAGTTGTAATCGGTTTTTTGAATATAAAATCTTGTGGACTCGTGGACTGAGTAGGGCTCTTGTTAGAGGTGGCACTTTCGTTTTCACTAGCATCCAGGCCACTGGTTTTGGTTTCTCCTAGTGATTTTTCTTCCTTTTCATTAGACCTTGGAGTGTTGGAAGCATCATTACTTTGAGAGGGTTCTTTTTCCTTTTCAAGTTTCAAACTTTCCTTAGGAGACAAAGAATCTTTTTCTTCAAACCTTTCAAGCTCCCCTAGAGCATCAGGAGTCAATGATCTTGCCATTCTTGCTTCTTCAAAGGCAATTCGTTCTCTCTCCAACTCATGATGGGGAACTCGTCCCCTTCCCCTACCTCTTACATGAGGTAGTGTTTGGGACCAAAAATGGGGAGGTGCCTGGGTCGTAATTAAGGGTGGTGGAGGATGATGGAACATTGTTGGTGGAGGAACGGTTGAGTAAAATGTTTGATTATTGCCTTGAAAAGTTAAAGAACCGCCATCCCATGCATCCTCTGAATTAGTTCCAATATAAGTTGTATTCATTCCGACATATGATGATTTTGCAGCGGGATTGAAACTAGATGATTGTGAACTGTAAAAGGGTTCTGACCCTGTCCCATTGTAAGTTAAGTCTGGATTGGACCCCATGTAAGGTTTATCATTGATATTGCCACTGTATGTAGGATGAACAGGTGGTTCTTGCAAACCATTTTCTTCCATATACTTTTTCTGCAATCGAGGCGGGAGTGATTCAAAAGACAAATGATATTGCTTGTGTTTGGAGTAGGACTGTTTGTTCCCTCTTCGTCCGTATTGGCCAGACGGTGGTTTTTGGGTGGACCTTTCTTGTTGCCACTGATGCTCATCGGTCGGTTCCACACTTCTAGTATCTCGCCCTTGTTTATCTATGTGTAGGGATGATAAAGGCAATGATCTAGGTTCTGAGGCTTGTCTCATGTTACGATGTTGAAGGGAATTGTTTTTCCTAGAACATAGAGGATCCCTCTCACTCTCATTATCAGTTGTCGTGTGTCCGTTAGTTTCATAGCCTGTAATATCAAAACTACTTCCTGCTTTGATCATTGGGTTGTAATCAAATTTTATATCTAATAAGGGAGTTATTTTTTCTTGGATGCCATTAGTTTGATTAATATTCTCATCCCTGATGTCTCGTCTGCTATTCCTTTTTTTATTTTTTCTCGGTCGACGGGTTTTATCTCTCTCATTTGGTTTCCTTGGTTCTTGTCGTGGTTTTGGTGGTTCTGAGCCACCTCTAAGAGTCCTGTTGTCTGACCATTGGCTTTCTTTGTCTTCATTCTTTCTTACAGGTGTTTCAACATCTCTTTTATGAGCTTCATCTCTTCTAAATGAATCACTTCGTTTTGTACTGTTATAGTTTCTAGTTTTGAATAGTTTGTTCTCTTGATTGTTCGGCAATGCTGGTGTAGGTTTTGGTGGAACATAAATGGGAACTTCTGGTTTCTTTGTTCTCCTTTTTGGGTCACTCAGATTACCAGTGCTACCACATAAGCTCGTTGACCTTCTATCCTTCAGTGAGTTACCTGAACAGATGCTCAACCTGTCAAAATCATCAACTAGTTTTTTAGAGTGGTTCTTTCTAGGGTATCGCTCTTCTCTTTCCCTGCTTGGATTACTTTCACAAAACCCTTCTCCGTAAAATTCTTCTTCACCATAAGCTGATTTTCGCAAAGGACCGCTTCCTGGTCGATAAATTTCTACTTGAGGCTTACCTCCCTTTCTTCCAACCGTAGACATCTCGTCTGAAAAATTACAAGTAAGTTAAGTTAGTTATAGTAATCCATAATCAAGAATTTGAGTTATACAGTAAAACCTCACTAACTCGAGACAATTTTTGGACCCAGAGGTTGTAGAGTTTGGGGGTGGTAAAGTTATCCAGGACAATCAACGTTTTAATGGGTGTTAAATATTAATAAAATGAATACATAAAAGACTAATTTTTACATATAAATTTATTAGGCCTACTTATACGAGTATTTTTACATATTGAGTAAATAATCTTCATATGAATGTTCAATATTAACCAATTAAAACTTGAAAAGTCTAACACAACTAAGACAAAGCCAACTAGACGTGCGTCCTGTCAGCTGTTGACTGTCAAGTTACAAGGATTGTTGAGTTACGGGGTGGTGAATTAGTGAGGTTTTACTGAATTTGTGTTTACTTGAACAAAATATTCAAGATGTTGTAACATTTTGGTTACTCTGCAAATTTTATCTCTTAAACGTGAAATTATTTTAATAAAATAACATTGGGATCTCTTAAATACACCCTTGCATAATAAAATATCAAGTTTATAAAAATTAGTTTATTTTGGTAGAAAACATTGAGGGACAAAAATTCCACTCAATTTCAGAATGGCCCATAAGCATTAATTTACTAACAACAAGGAGATGCACATGTGGAAGACATTATTGGCTGGTAATTCCAAAACACAAAGAGGTGCCCAGTGTAGAATTTACCAATAGATGACAAAAAGCTGTTGCTAGACGTAAATGAGGAGGTGAGTGATGGCAAAAAGTAGGTCACAGTGTTCCTGGAATGTGAAAAAAGTACAAACCCCATAATTTAGACAGCTATGCGACCTCTCCGGGTTTAATCTAAGCCCCATGTGGTTTACAGATACAATAAATTAAACCACCAACAAAGCGACCAGACGGGAGGCATAAACAGGACCAACCAGATGAACATACAATACCTTGATGAATACCATTGCATGAAACACTTAACTTAGGCTATTTATAAAAGTAATTTTTATCATTTTCGGCAATGATTTCAAATGCCTAAGTTGTCATGTTAAATACAGTGTGTAAATTAAGTCTTTAAACAAATATGTATTTTTTTAACCGAAATAGATAGAAATATTCTGTTTGTGGCGTTGATTGTTAACAAATGTTTCTGTCATTTTTTACATCAAAAATATTTTTTAACCCCCCTAACAGGGCAGGGGATAGGGGGTGACTTATTTTTTTTTTTAAATAGTAACCCCTATTGAGTCACCCCTCATTTTGAAGGATTTGTCAAAACAAATACAATGACGCAAACCCGAGATGGATATCTCTCCCCTAGCCAAAATGGCAGGTATTCCAAAATTTAATTTACTGCATGTGAAAAGCACCAATTATGGAAATAATCTGTATTTTTAAAACCGAAATAGATATAAATATTCTGTTTGTGGAATTGATTGTTAACATAGGTTCCGCAATTTTTTATATCAACAATATTGTTAACCCCTTTAACAGGGTAGAGGGTTGGGGTGATTTTTTTTATAACAACCCCTATTGAGTGACCCCTCATTTTGAAGGGTTTGTCAAAAGAAATGCAATGGCGCAAACCCGAGGTAGATATTTCATCCCTAGCCTAAATGGCGGGTATTCCAAAATTTGATTTATGTGAAAAAGCACCCATTTTGGAATACCTGCCATTTTGGCTAGGGGTGAGATATTTACCTCGGGTTTGCGTCATTGTGTTTCTTTTGACAAGCTCTTCAAAATGAGGAATCACTCAATAGGGGTTGCTATTTGAAAAAAATAAGTCACCCCCTACCCTGTTAATTGAGTTAACGGACAAACGTTGTTATCTTCGCTGATAACGCAAACCTAGGACATCTGGGCTCAGTTATTAACCATTTGCGTAACAGTGAACACTTCCGGACTGTAGTAATTATAAATTTGCTTTTACGTGCTTTTGTGTGTCAACGTGGTATATGAGGTCAAGTCGCAACAGGACGGTCGTCCAGGGCCGTACCTAGGCTGTGGCGAAGGTGGCCCCTGCCAAGGGTGCAGGTTAGACAAGGGCGCAAAATGGGAAAGAGGGGCAAATTTTACTTTTTTTATGAGCTAGATGAAAAAAATAGAAATTGACATTTATATAATTGACTTATGTTACGGTATAATAATGCTTATATGCTTATACTTATATGTGTTTGTGGTTATACTTATTTTGTGTTGTTTAATTATTTTCGTGTTAATTCTAAGTTGGCAACACTGGGCGTATTACTGTTTGATTTGCATGCCTGTCACTTGTCAGTTCTCCTCCACTCCACACTCCAGTCCAGTCCCAGTGCCACTATTGCCAGCGTTAAGCCTTTAAACTCTACTTAGTAGATTTGGGAATTATCGTTGTTTTCCGGCAACGGTTGTAACGATAATGCAGCTGCCCAATAACGTGTTGCGCCAACTTGTTATTTGAATAACGATTGCCAACTCGTTGCCGCTAAAAACCGTTGTCCGCCGGTCGGTGTTGCGGCGTTCAGTTATCTTTGTCGGTTGATCAATGATCAGTTCAGTTTTCAGTTGTAGTCGGGAGTCGGGCGTTTGGCAATTTTATCAATCGAGTATGACAGAGCATCAAAAATTGATTTCAATAAAGTAATCAATGAGTTTGCTCTCGTTAAAGCAAGGAAAGTGCAATCATTGGTTATATTGATGAAGTCAGAAAACAGTTGTAACTATTACAACTTATGTAAATAACTCTGTACAAATTGTAACTTATTGTAACTTACTTATTAAAATTAAATTCCACAAAAAGGGATACTTGATTGTTTACTTAATTACCTTAATATACATTGTGATGAAATTGGGATAACGGATCATTATGTTTTATACAAATATATTGTTTAACCAATCATTTAAGCAAAAACCATAAAAAAATCATTATAGTCTAGCAAAAAGTTAAATTTTCAATGTCAAAATCTGAATTATTTCTTTATGTTTTAAGAGCCAGAATTGCTTAAAAATGTGTTTTACTGATGTTAAAATTTAAATTTTTTTACGGACCCCCGCTTTTCCGGGGGGTTTTCCATACCCCCCGACCCCCCGGAGGGCGCACTTACGCTGGTTCGCCACGTACAAAGGAGCATCTAGGTACGGCCCTGCGGTCGTCCATGGTACAGTGTGGACTTGGTGGTGATTACAATGTAGTTTCAATGCGCGATCGACTTTTACTTAGGATGCACTTTTACTTTTACATTATGATGCACGCCAAAAACCTAAGGGGAACAGGAAACGCTGTACACTGTGACTACCCATTGGAGAAACGGACGAAACGATCATACTTGGCAGCTGTTAGAACAGAAATCGAGAGAGTGGCTGGTAACAACTTCAGGATGCCCCTGTCATTTGACCATCTAGTTGTGAAGGACTGTCGACTAACATGGGAGGCAGGGAAGCTGATGGCAGGACATAACTTCACCGACTTTCTGTCCAAACTAAATGAGAAGGGGCCGAAACAAATTAGTCAATCTCGGGAGACAGGACGACAATCCAGGTATGAGAGGGATATACCCGCCAGGGACGAGACCACGGCAGAGAACACCCAAGCAACTACAGAGAACAACCAAGACAACCAGGGGCAGGAGTGAGATGACCCCGCCAACCCTCAGCTAGAACTGCAGCCGGACATACACGACTGTGAAGACGGACTAACAAACTCTAAATTTGAAGTTTTAATTTATAACTGTTGTGGATAAAAAAAGGCCAAGGTTAGTGACTTTTATTTTTTAGATCTATTAACCTATGATTTGTTTTTTTTGCTAGAAAATTTTATATCTGAGTATGAAAAGGATTTTATAAGTAATAAAATAGAGTTCAAGTTTGAAGTAAAACACTGCAATTATGGTAGAAGTATTGGTGGGAAAATTATAGATATCAAGCCAGATACATATTTCTTTAATTAATTCAATGTACTGAGGTTAGGAGAGTTTAATAGTTCAAACCAATTTTCAGTGTAGCAATGAATTGATAACATTTTTCCCTGTATATTTAAACTTCAACAACTGGGAAGATAATTTTACTCAATTAAACAAATGTTTGCGTAATAATTATTTTGAAAATGTAATGTAATACTTTTGGGTAATTTGATTGGCAGAATAGGGACTGAACAAAGTGTTACAGCACCAGTGCTACAAAATGTAGGCCAAAACAAAAAAATTATCTGATGACAAAATCAAAAGACCCTACTCTAAACTCTAGGGGGCGTAAACTATTGGACTTATTTGAAGACTATGGATTGATTGTTTTAAATGGTAGAACTTCTGGGAAGGTTTATGGTGATTTTACCCCTTGGTAGGAGCTGGGGGAGTCAGTAATAGATTATGTCGCGACGTCATTTGACACCTTATTTAATTGAAGGTTTTGAAGTTGTATCTTTCCCTGGATCCGATCATTTATTATTTACTACAGTTAAATCTGTGTAGTGGTAAGCCTGGCAGTGTGGGCAGGGAGGGGGACAGCGTCACCACCTTGCAGCTTCTACGTAAACTAAGATAGTCTAACAATGATCATGTCCATTAGGCCTATTGTGAGTGAGTTAGCGAAAATATTGAAGTGCTCACTATTGCTAACGATAATCAAACAAACATTGATAACATTGCTAATTGCATTCACCAATCGGTATCTAACGCACACTTCAATAGAAAAAATGTTAGTATGAGAAATGTTGAGAGTTATTCTGTGAGAAAGCGTGTGTTCTGTTTATTAAATTTGAATAGGAAATCCAACTCAGTTTGTGTTAGGTCTAAGTAGGCTACATTGCAGGGAGCAAAAATTATAAGGCAGTGTGTGTATCTGGTTAAAAAGCATTGTAATTAATATATTAAGTCAAAGCTCTTATAGCAAAACATGTTGGTCCGCCATCAAAACATTTAAAAAAAGATTGCATCCAAATAAATGGGTGAATCTTTCTGAAATTTACTAAACCCCCCACTCCTGGCAGGTCTTGTGAGTTACGCGGCGCCTCTTAT